AATCATTTTTACTTGAATATTTTTTTTTGTTTTCATTAACATCTATTTTAATGATGAACTGTATTAGCCCAAATCTGTATTCCTCCATCTATTTTAATGATGAACCACAAATAATTTTCTTTTAAATTAATATATCTGGAAAGGTTCATTCCATTAATCTGATGTCTTTGATATTATTTTTGGTAGAGAGAAGAGATCTATAATTTTACTACCATTCCATATTAGCCCAAATCTTTATTCCGCCATCTATTTTAATGATGAACCACAAATAATTTTCTTTTAAATTAATATCTGGAAAAATTCAATCCATTAATCTGATGTCTTTGATATTATTTTTGGTAGAGAGAACAAAATGTATGAAAGAACATTATCTTGCAGGAAAATAATCTTTAACTTAAGGCTTATTAACTGAAACCCATGCTTCTCAAAAGATGACATATCCAAAATTCTCTACATTTATCTTGATTCCATAATTAATTTTGAAGAGATCTATAATTTTACTTCCATTCCGTATTAGCCCAAAACTTTACTATGCCATTCTCTGTTGTCTTCAAAATTGTGTTGATTGCCTCTTTCCATGTAGGACACAACTTCTAACCTTGCTATCGAGACCAGACTTCTTTACATGTTCATCTTTTCTCTTTGTTTACATTTGCAACACAGTCATTTTTTTTTAATATTTTCTTTTCAGTTAATCCTTTTTTTTCTAGATTATTACTCTTAAATTTTCTCAAAACTTTATTTGTGACTTTCTTAAATCTAATTTTTTTTCCTGTCCTTATCTTACCGATATTTGAATTCCTTTATTGAATGTCTTTGATCCTTGATGATTTTTTCTTTTTGGATTGCTAACACTGCATCTCGATCACTCAATAACGTTACATTAACTTGTTTCTTTTTAGAAATTATATCTTTCTTATGATACAAGGCAGTCTTTATTAAAATACAACTATAATATCAAAGAGTAATGCCTTCTATGAAGAAACCTTTTAGCTGAAAGCTTATTAGTTATGACTTGTAGCATTCAAAAAGTATCTTGTTCAACAACTTATAATAATTCTCTGCATTTATCTTGAAACCAGCATCCAATTTGAAGGCACCTATATTATAACCCTCTACACCTGAATACATCATTATTATAGTAAATTATTTCACATGTTAATATGAACACCTTGACATTCTATAACCTTCATTATTCCTCCAACCATTGATTTTTTTCTAACTTTTCTAGGTTTCAAATTTAAGATTAATTACTGCAGTTTTACTTCTCAGAAATTTTTTTTTTTACTTAAATCTTTTTTCATTTTCATTAACATCTCTTTTAATGATGAACCAAAAATAATTTTCTTTTGAATTAATATCTGGAAAGGTTGGAATCATTCCATTAATTCGGTGTCTCTGATATAATCTTTTGCCATAAGAGCAAGATATGAAGGAAGATTGTCTTGCAGGAAAATAATTTTTGGCTGAAGGTTCATTAATTGAAATCCATACAAACACAAAAGATGTTATGTCTAAGGACTTACAATTATTCTCTGTGTTTATCTCCAAATAATCATGCATAATTTTATTGTTATTAAATATTAGCCCAAAACATTATTCCAGCATCCCACATTGTCTTTGAATTGTGTGAACTGACCCTTTCCATAAAAGGTAAAAACTTCTAATCCTGCTATAAAGCCCAATTGTTTTTTGTACAATCACCAAAATTAAACATTAAGCATGGTCAATGCTTAAATGACTAACTGCTTGTAAATACCAGGTGGTATAAGCATGGATGTGCAGGTGATGTAATAGATAAGTTTAGAATCGGAAATTGAAGGCCTATGTTTGAATTGTAGTATATATATATATATATATATATATATATATATATATATATATATATATCGTGGACATGTGGATGACTGGTTAGAACGTTTGATTTCTGACCATGAGACATGAGACCTGGGTTAGAATCATCTTCAATATGTCAGGAAGGAGACTTCCTGATATTATTGGTTTGGAGGGGTCAATCCCAACATGTGGAACCTTTGGAAAGTGCTTGAAAACCATACCATACTTGTGAGTGAAATTAGGTAGACGGTACACTTGGAAGTCATTGGTAGCTGTGCTAGCACAAAGTCACAAGTCATCGTGACCAAGGGTCTGAGTGTGCTGACCTTGTTCAGACTGTGGATTACTCTAGATAATACACTCTTTTCCAGAAACTGTAACTAAAGTTCTGCTCAGTAATAGTTGCAGTATAAACCACAGCTGGGTTCTGTAGGTGTTGAAATAACATAAATGTGCCTGAGCAAGCATTTGCAATAGGGATTGGCTAGCTGCCCTAGTAGATGGGTATCCTTGAATATGAGTGGCCAGCTATATATATATATATATATAAAATATCAAATCCATAAGTGGAAAGGATAATTTCAGTCTGATGAGGCAGTTATTAAAAACTTTCCCACTGAAATAAATTTATTACCAGAGTTTTCAAGATGTGTTAAGTTTTCCCTTTGATGCGCATATATATATATATATATATATATTAAGACATTTTTATGTTTATACATTCTTTTTATAGATACAAATATTTAAGTAAATGCTCTGTTTATAATAAACAGTATTAAACAACATTTACTGGCCTGAATGTCCTAGAAATTTTCACGGTAATACTGTTGTTTAATACTGTTTATTATAAATAGAGCATTTACTTAAGTATTTGTATCTATAAAAAGAATGTATAAACATAAAAATATCTTAAAATAATTGTTTGACTTTGTCCAATTTATAATGTGTGACATCATATATATATATATATATATATATATATATATATATATATATATTTATATAGTTTATGCAAATTTAGGTAATCCATATGGGTAGACCTGAGGAGGATGATATCCAGAGAGCTCAATGTAAAATTCAGAGCAAATATGTTTGAATAAAAGACAGACTGGATGATCCAGAACCCTGTAAAAGGGGTTATGGTGAAATAGCTTATTACATGGAATCTTAACGTGGTCTGTCTTTTATTCAAACAAAAAAAAATATATATATATATATATATTTTTTTTTTTTCTTATCTCTTAAATGTTATATATTAGTGGATACACATGTTTCAACAGACAGCATGGTTTTTAAACAGTGTGAATAACATCCTCTATCTAGCCTGTGCAATTGAGAATATTAAAAAACATGTGTTATCTGGTAGGAAATGAACCTGCATCTCCTTTTGTCAGGAAAGCCACAGTGTGACCCACAGTGCTTTAGAGCACATAGTTACAGAGAGCATCTCAGTTCAGAAAAGTTTAATTTTAATTTCCCTGTGAGGAAATACACATCTACTGCTTGTCTGTTATGTTCTTTATGTTTGAGCAGTCTAAAGCTAGAAAATATATATATATATATATATATATATATATATATATATATATATATATGTGTGTGTGTGTGTGTACACAGCAAAATTGTCTACTTGTTAGATTAAGATTTGAACCATTGTATCTTAGAAATGATTAAAGATATCTTACTGGAATTCTCTGAGGTTTTATAACACTATTGGACTCTGCTTTCAGCAATAAGAATGTATAATTACTCTCCAAGCTTAACAGGAGAATCGTGATTAAACCGGTCTTAAACGAAAATGACCTGTTCATCATTAATTAATCATAGCTAAGGATCAGAAGATCATGAAGGATTGAAATTAAGCTCAAAAATATATATATATATATATATATATATATATATTACTCCAGGATCATTTTCTAACTTATTCAAGATGATCTTCACCCTCTCTAACCTTCTAACTTTTTAACAAGATGCCTCACAGGTTTCATGTACTATTTTATTTTCAAGTTTTTTCTACTGCTCTTTGCACTGTCATAGCTGAAACTCCTCTCTCACATGCCAAACATCTTATGGATTGAGTTGGGTCTTTTCTAATTGATCTCTTTAGCTCTAAGTTGAAATGATGATCCCTTTTCCCGGTGTGACCTCCTGATCCAGTTTTCCATGCTACTGTTCCCTCTTTTTTAAACTTAAACATTCTCTTGAATGGACTTTGAAGATGGAAGCCAGAGTATGAATGTTGGTATCATTACTGAATGATCTTTTTCCTCTCACACTTACTCAGTTGATCCAAAATGATTTTAACTTGCTCTCTTTCTAGCTGAATGACACAAAGAATTTTTCATTGATTCTTACAACAAATGGCATCAAGATGGCTAAGCATCTTACCTGAAAAACCTGGAAAAAGAAACTCAATTAGTTTAGTGTATTTTTAGACATTAAACATTTTGTGTGTTGGACAATTATGCTGTAACATGATTTGGACAATTTTGCTGTTATATACAGACAGATATATATAAGTGGCCTTTGTAGGTACATTATTTCTGATACTGGTCCCACTTAAAAAAAAGATTATCTTCTATTTTCTTTATTTGAATATATCTGTAAAAAGTTAATATAGATAAAGACAAAAGTAAAACTTTTCTTAGCCAACATGTTTGTCTTCTGATGGACTTTATCAAGGCAAATGTATGGATTTTGTAACAAGTATTTATGTAAAAATGTTAGTCTTTCAGAATTTTTAAATTTAACAATGCTCATAAATTTACATCAGTCAAAAAGTCAAAGTCAATTACAGAGGAGGATAAGTGATGCAGTTTAATGTCTAATTAATAAAATGCTGTTGCTGAATTTTTTGTGCTCTTCTTACCACCTTATGCATATAGAGCAACTGCAGTCAGTAATCCTCTACCTTGACTGGCTCTTGGACCTTTTAGCAGGTGAACAATTAGTAAGAAAATAATTTAAATCTGTTTTACCTTAAAAGATTTAAATCAGCATCACGTACATCAATACAAACAATTTATGAAGATATTATTTCCAGCAGATCACTCACCTGGAAAAAATAAAAAGATAGAGAATATAATAAATAATATATCACAAAATCAGTAAATCTGGAAATGTAATACTTGCACTTAAAATGTTTCCTATCATTATGGGAC